GATAAAATATATTCCATCCAAAAAACCCTAAAGAATGAATCAATCATCAACATACATACAAACATAATGAAGGGCAATTTTGTATTTTCACATTTTTACATAAGGTGATACATGTGGACTACCAACAAAAATGATCAAAATATTAAGATGAAAATTGAGATAAAATAGATGGAATGTCCGAAAACGGGAAGTAGAAGACATGTAATAGCTCAAACCCATCACTAGTAGATATTGTTTGCTTTGAATTTTATAACGCATTTACTATAGAGAGGATCTAGCTCTATCTTGACTAGTGTATCGCACCGTTCAAGCCAAAATAAACCATATCCGCTAACGATGGACTTAGACTATTACGTTCCAATATGATCCCTATATTACCCCTATAACAACAATCCATTTGTATCTCCACTACGCTATTTCCATCACCTTGGTCATGTTTCCCATTATTTTGTTCCTTAAACCTTCCATCACTCCAAATTCTTACCAATCTCTTCAATTTCTACGTTATTTCACCTTTATAACCTATTTTCGCTCGTGGACCTCTTTAATTCTTATACTACCAATCTGTACAAATCTGTAAAATCTGTAAAAGTAATGTCTGTTAAGAAAATCCATATCTTAAATAACTAAAAGAACCCGTATTAGTTTATGAGGATAGTTTTCAGTCTTAGAAATAGTTCAAGACAAATAGGTAACAGGATCATGTTGCCCGTCTAGATTTCAAATTTTGAACATAATTTTCAAAACACTAATTTTCTTTTTAAAAAAAACGAAACCCCAAATAAAAATGTAAACTTTATAAACATGAATTAATTTTATTTTGCATTTTAAAAGTGTAAGTTTAAAATGACATCCACTTAGATCCATAAATAAAGACTTGAAAAGGTAGACTAAGATGCTTAATGCATGTGCCTTACTCACTAATATATACTCATTATTAATAATATGCTTTTTAACTTTTTTTTTTTTTATAAATTAAAAAAAAATGTATCATTGTGGAAAACAACTAAGATTTGGAACTCAAAATATTTCCCTTCCTCCAAAAAAAAAAAAAATTAAAAAATTAAAAAAATTAAAAAATTAAAAAATTATATTTTGATTGGAAAAAAAAATGAGTGGTGACAAATTGATCATAATGAGTTGCTAATAATGTATGCCATCTCATACCACTTTGTATTATACTGAAAATGAGTTCTAATTTTTATTTTTTTAACCCCAAAAAGTAAAACAACAAAACTTTGTAATTTCTCTTTTTTGCTAATAATAATAATAAATATGCATAACTAATATATATGTAAAACCCAAAAGAAAGGGAAAAAAAAAAGGTGTCACATGCAATGAGCTAAGGTTTAGGAACCATAAAGATCAAAATTTAATCCAAATAATACAATGAAGAGACCGAAGTGATTCAACTTCAAACCTAACCAAACAACGTGCTTTTTTCACCTTTTCTCGTTTCTTAATTTATTTCTCATCATTCGTCAATTTCAAATAATACTTCAAATAGTTCCAACATAATAGTAATCTCACAATTCTTATAAAAACAAATAAAAGAAAAAAGAAAAAGAACGTGAGATTGTGACCATATACAAACACCAATAATGTAACATAAGCTCATTGCTAACAGATATTATCCGCTTTGACCAAATACTATGTTCTTTATTTATTTAATGTTGTACACAGCACATGTTAATGTTATGATGTTTTTGTTTAGCCCTAGTCCATTCAATTGGGTTGTCAAAGATTTGCCACTTTCAACTATTAAGATCTTGGGTATAATTATTATTATTTTTGAATTCCCCAAAGTTAAATATATTATATTAATCCCTTTTCATTTTAAATAAAATTAAAAATTAGGGTTTGTAATGAATCATTAAATTAAACCCTAAAAAAGTATGGTCTGTAATTCCCCTAATTCATAATCATAAAAGGTTGTCTCTGTCTGTAATTTAGCAGGAAAGAGTGTAAGCTAAGTTACTGAATTGGAGAAATCATGTCTGGAAGTGACCAAAAAGCACTTCTTTTCATGATTTTAATTTTTAATTAGTAGGGTTTAGGGTTTGTTTAGGACGGTGAAAGTGCTTTTTTAAAATCTAATAACAACTCCTCTCCTTAATTTGTTCGGTCTCATTCCACACCCCAACATTTATTTCGAAATATTTTTTATAAGGATGTGTAGATCTTGTTAAGAATCACGATTCTCCACAATGGTATGATATTGTCCACTTTCAGCATAAACTCTCATGACTTTACTTTAGACTTTTCCAAAAGGCCTCATACTAAAGGAGATAATACTCCTCACGATCATTCCCTAAATTAGCCAATGTGGGACTCACTCCCAATAATCCCCAACATATCTCTCCCTAGTATACACGTTTTAAAACTGTGAGGTTTGATAGAGGCTTAGACGGTTACATTATCTACTAGTAGTAGGTTTGAGCTGTTACATTCATAGGTTGCTTTCACTTCTCATCGAAACTTGAACACTACTTGAACATACAAATTTAGTGTTCAAATCAAACTATATGTTTGGTTCGACTCATCGAGCATTTTCACTTTACTCAAAGGATCTACCTCTTTTAGAGTAAGACTTTATGTTTCGTCCCCATAGCGTACATATGCCCTACTAAAAAAACCTAGCAGTGGATAGACATCTCGAATATATATAATAATATTGACGTTGTTTTGACCTAGAAGGTCCCTTCCCCCAATGGTCCAGTCCAATATGACATTATTGAGGGAAAAAAAAAGATATGATCCCAAGGAAAAATTTGAGAACATTGGTTGAATACACAGCCCATAGAGGTAGAGGGTAATAATTAAGTACATACATCCTCCACTAGCACTATTAATTATACCCTAAACACGTATTTTTTTATGTGTTTGACTAGAAATATGAGAAACTAAATGAAATGATTAAAAAACAAAGAATTGACTTTAAGAAAACTTAAAATAGAATTAAGAAAAGATTACAAATTTGTGTCCATAAGGTAGCTTGTAACCTTAATTCAAACTTGAAGAACTATTCAATCAAAAACTCATTCCAATCAGTAAGGCACATGCAAGAGAGAGAGGAAGAGCCCTAAGAGGTCTGTGTTGTTGTGTGTTTGGTGGACCCTAAAGGCTTGTTTTTCACACAAACAAGAACCCATCTATACTCTAGGAGAAAAGATGATGATATATTACAAAATTTGTTCCCCTTTATTGTCACATGCCTTACAAAACTATACCCTACACCACAATACCACTCCTCTCTCTAACCCCATCTTACACTGCTCAAGAAAACTGACACTTTGTATCTTCTAGGGTATGTGGCCTTATCTTTAGGGGCAGGTGTTAATAGAAAGGTTTAATCTTGATTAGTGCCTTAATTTAAGGTTAAAGTAGTTTAATTAAAGGGGTACTCTATTATTAACAATAAAAGTAGGAATTAAGTAAGGCATAGGAAAGACAATGGAAGGGAATGATTAGGGTTTGTCACATGCGAATGCAAGTATTTGAGTGGCCACTCAACTGAAAAATCTCTTCTTTTTTATTATTGTTTAATGGAAAAAAGAAAAGACATCCAAATCCAAAGAAAATAATTGAAGATATTCAGCTTGTTTTAGTGTAAAGAAGGGGAAGTCAGCTAAAAAAAGGTTTTAACTGTGGCCTGAATGTCTGCACCCACGTGATTTAAAAGGTTACTGCTTCACGTCAACTAAATTTGAAGCTCTGTTCATCGCACCCCAGAAATTTACTGCCTAATTAACTCCACCCACCACTTCTTAAACATCATAACAAACTAATAAAAGATGTGTGAAAATGGGTGAAAAATGAAGATTGGACAGGTTGTGCGTGGGGCGTGGCAGAGCAAAACAGAGCCATCCATTACCAACTACGCCAACCGTCTCATACCACCATATACAAAACCCACCAACTCCTTTTCAACTTTTTACGAATCTTTTTGGTTCATTGTAAGGAGGGTGTAAGAAGTAAGTAAGAAAGGTTGAATAAACCAAAATTCCCAGAAACAGAGGCCAAATTCTTAGGCTTAGAAACTTGAAACAAAACAGAAGCACTCTGTACCACTCTGTTTCTGTTACAACATGTTGATAAGAGGGAATTAAGAAGGTTGCTTGCCTTGTTTGAGTTCCTAAACCCTAAATCCAACCATTGCCTGTCATCATGCTTTAATTATTCCTTTTATGTGTATGTATTTTTGGCAGATTTTGCTGACAATTCCCCTCGAATCCTCCCTTCACTTTAACTTTCTCCTTTTCTCTTTTTCTCTTTTTTCCATCACACTTGTATTTTTAAAGTTGTTACTTAAATCTTCTTCTTCTTCTTCTTCTTTGGTGGGTTTTGGGATGGAAAACCTGCTATTACTCTCATAAATTCCACCCACATTTCCCAATTTTATAACCTTGTTATTTAACTACTACTCTGTTTTAGATTCTTCTTATGAGTATCTCATGATTTCAGATGTTTGTATAAATAACCCTACTTCATACTCTTTCCCTAAAACCACACCAAACCATTTCTTACTCTTAACCTCTCAATAAATTCATCTCTCTTTTACCGACATCTTTTTAAAAGCCTAACTTTATCGCTAGCCGATATTATCCTCTTTGAATCGGATTTTTCCTCAAAATTTTTAAAACATGGTCGCTAGGGAGAAGTTTCTATACTCTTATAAAGAATGTTCTCCAACCGATGTGTAACCTCATAATACACCTTTCTCCCTTTTAGGGCTCAGTATCCTCGCTAAAAAGATTTTCACACCCTTATAAAGAATGTTTCGTTCTACTCCCAACCGATGTAAAATCTTACAATCCACCCCTTTCAAAGTCCAGCGATCTTGCTGGAGAGGTTTCCACACCCTTATAAAAAAATGTTTCGTTTTGTTCTCCAACTAACATAAGATCTCATAATATGATTTGGTTCAACCAAAAATTTGATGATACCTAAGAGAAGTATTTGACCATGAAGGACTCTCAACTAACAAAATTGGCTCATTTAAGTTCTTCATCCAAGATACCAACCCTCCCAAAATTTATTATAATAAATGCTAATAATAATAATGTGTTTGAAATTGAAATGAATAAGCATAAAAGAAAGTAAATGAAGTTCCCTTGTTTTTTAATGTGTTTTAGTTATAAATGTCACCTCCTTTCCTAAGACTTTACTTCAACAATGGGGCATCCAAACAAGGCATAGTGTGTAAGAAGGAAACCTTTTTTCCGGCAGTTCTGACAATTTTTGCAGACTCAATGTGTATACGCTATCAGATTTTCAACTATGCTTTGGTTTTTCTCTTCAGTCAACCTTCCAATCTGCAAAAATAAAAATATTCATATTATTATTAATCTGCAGTTATGAAGCTCACGAGAAGCCAGAAGCTAAAAACGTTTATGAAGCTCCATTATTCCTCTTTAACGGACTTAAACTCCTTTTAAGTTTTAACCTCAAAAGAAATAGCTTGCCAATTGTAGAAATAGAAAATTTACCTGTTCGTTCATATGGGAATTTTCCAAGTTCACTGCTGGTATGATTAGCCTGAAATGAAAGATCAATCTGATACCCAAATCAGCCACAAATATAGTAAAATACAAAATAAGAACAATTATAAGGTTTTGACAATGACCCAAGCAATTATTTTTCTTATTGGGATTAAAGATGAGATTTTAGTTCTTTTTTTACAAAACCCATCTCCAAGTTTTGAAACAGTGTGATTTGTCGGGTGGAAAATCCTTCTGTTTTTCTCACTCTGGGTCTCTCTCCTTAACATGTGTCACTTTCTGTGTTTTTTTTTTTACAGAAGCAAAGTGGGAACAATTGGAAAAGCAATCTGACTGTAAAAAGAAGCAGACCAGTTGTTGTCTCTTTGACACTTGCATTCAATAAGTAGAAGATGAACAACAACAACAGGAAGAACAAGAAGAGCCGAGACAACTGAGAGAGAGAGTTAAAAAAAAATTACTCAAACTGTAGCAGAAGGAAAGAGATTGATGTGTGTGGGAAAAAGTTATGGAGTTGAAAAAAGTGAGCGGCAAAAACATGAGCTGAAACAAAGCCTGATAGAGTGAGCAGCAAAAAAGAAATAATAATAATATTAAGGTAAAGAAGGGGAAATTTTGTTCATAAAGCGAGGAATTTCGTCAATGTCACAAGATTCCGAGGAGATAAAGACGACTGAGCAGTGGAAATGGTCCGAAATGCAAGGCCTTGAGCTCGTCTCTTCTGATCTTCCTCCTCCTCCTCCTCCTCCTCCTCCTCTTGACCCGTTTATAACCAACAACCCATCAGCCCCAACAGCTAAACACACAGACCCTGAAGACCTGAGACCCAAAGAGGAGGTTCAAGACGGATTTGGCAGAGCCACAAACGGAGATATGGAGTCTACTAGTGATTCCAAGAAGGAAAACGGCGGTGGCACCAGTGGGGAGAAGCCTGAGGCTGTCACCGCCGTTGGGTTTGGGGAGCTCTTCAGATTCGCCGATGGGTTGGATTACGTTTTGATGGCAATTGGGTCGGTCGGAGCCCTTGTCCATGGTTGTTCTCTGCCTCTGTTTCTTCGATTCTTCGCCGATCTTGTTAACTCTTTTGGGTCTTACGCCAATGATGTGGATAAAATGATGCAGGAGGTTTTGAAGGTAAAGTAGAACTGTGACTCAAAACACAATCCAAGTGTATGTGTTGCTAATAATCTAGTGTAATGTCAAAAATCTAAGCAACTGAAATCCCTCTGCTCTAATTTCAGTATGCATTCTACTTTCTCGTGGTTGGAGCTGCGATATGGGCGTCATCCTGGGCAGGTACTGAGAGTGTCCATTAGGCTTCTCTGGGTTTTTTCTTTACATTCATATGTGAATTGAAATGACATATGAAACTGAGTGCAGAGATTTCGTGTTGGATGTGGACCGGCGAGCGGCAATCCACAAAGATGAGGATCAAGTACTTAGAAGCAGCACTGGACCAGGACATCCAGTATTTTGATACCGAGGTGCGAACATCTGATGTCGTTTTCGCCATCAACACTGATGCAGTGATGGTCCAAGACGCCATTAGTGAGAAGGTGAGAAGCAAAAAAAAGAAAAAGAAACCCAACTCTATTTTCAGTAATCTCTCTTTGAAACCCCCTTTTATCTGCACAATTGAATTAAATGAATGAACTTCGCAGCTGGGCAACTTCATCCACTATATGGCAACATTTGTTTCTGGATTCGTTGTGGGTTTCACTGCGGTGTGGCAATTGGCTTTAGTAACCCTTGCAGTGGTTCCTCTGATTGCTGTAATCGGCGGCATCTACACCACCACAATAGCGAAGCTCACTGCCAAGACCCAGGAGGCTCTTTCAGAAGCTGGAAATATTGTCGAACAGGTTAGGGGAGTTCTTAATAAAACTTGATTTTCTATGGATTTGAGCATCTTATATCATCCGGGTAGAGATAATTCTTGATGTTACATGCAGACAATAGTTCAAATTCGAGTTGTCTTTGCTTTCGTCGGCGAATCAAGAGCATTACAGAGGTACTCCTCCGCATTGAAGATTTCTCAAAGAATAGGTTACAAGAGTGGGTTCTCCAAGGGTATGGGATTGGGCGCCACTTACTTTGTCGTCTTCTGCTGTTACGCTCTTCTGCTCTGGTACGGAGGTTATCTTGTTAGACACCATGCCACCAATGGCGGTCTCGCCATTGCCACCATGTTTGCAGTGATGATTGGCGGACTGTAAGTAGTCACCATCTCAGAGTTTCATCCTGAAACCTTCAAATTTTTTACTGATGGATCGCTTTGTTTGACACAGGGCATTGGGGCAATCTGCTCCGAGCATGAGTTCATTCGCAAAGGCTAAAGTTGCGGCTGCTAAAATCTACCGTATAATCGACCATAAGCCCACTCTAAACCGCAACAATGAATCTGGTTTGGAATTAGAGTCAGTTTCAGGACTGGTTGAGCTAAAAAACGTAGATTTCTCATACCCATCAAGACCAGATGTAAGAATCCTCAACAATTTCTCCCTAACTGTCCCTGCCGGAAAGACTATAGCTCTGGTCGGTAGCAGTGGCTCCGGCAAGAGTACCGTCGTCTCCCTCATTGAAAGATTCTATGACCCCATGTCAGGTAAATGCCCAATTTTTTCCCAAATGCTTAATACATTGCTTTTGTGTTTAGCTTTCAGTCTTATTGTTGAGATTTAAGTTTTTGGACTTGGTTTATATGTTAACAAGAGAAGCTCCTTCTTGACTAAATGTGCAGGTGAAGTTCTACTAGATGGGCGTGACATAAAAACTTTGAAGCTAAGATGGTTAAGACAGCAAATAGGGCTGGTGAGCCAAGAACCTGCTCTTTTTGCCACCACCATCAAGGAAAACATTCTCTTGGGCAGACCTGATGCCGACCAAGTTGAGGTCGAGGAAGCTGCTCGAGTCGCCAATGCTCATTCATTCATTATAAAACTTCCTGAAGGCTATGACACTCAGGTTAGCTATCAATCTCAAAACCTATTTGTTAAATTTCAACCCTCTTAATCACGCTCCATTGGCTCTACAGTCAAAAGATAAAGCTAAAACTTCGACGTTTTCCAATGATAAATGTCAACCGTCGCGATGTTAGGTGGTTATCCTATCAGAATAGTTAGAAGCCCCCTGTTAATAAATAATGTCCTTAGGCAACGTTTTAATGTTTTAGAGTATAATAAACCATTTTTTATTTTCCTGAAGGGTTGAGGGTTTGTTTGATACCGACCTATAACTAAGATACAGGTTTGAAGGTTTACTTATAAATGATGCATCTGTTTCTCCTTTTTGAACAGGGGAATGGAATATTTTATTTCTTGCAACAAGGTTTAACCGACTTCTTTTTTTCTTGTTTGGTGAAAGTTTGAAGAAATGTTTATGGTCCTACAAACAATGGAAACAGGATAACATGCCTTGGTCAACAATGCATGTGCAGAAATAAATAGGTTTTTAACTTGTCTGCCCTGACAAATCAGAATCAAATAAACTAAAGGGATGGCATATCAAGCATATGGGTATGGGGATTCAATAGAAAATAGTCAATGCTGACATCTATATACAAAGCATATGAAATTATTTACACATTCATATATAGTTTTCTATTATTGACATAGCATGCTGTAGAAGAAATAATGATGATAGGAATCTGAATATGCTTTACAATTACCATTTTATCAAAGATACTAAAAAAAAAATAGTATTTACGCACCTTTTGATAGAATGACTGTAGAATTATTCTTCACCCTGAGGTTGAAAATGACACAAGTAGAAACAACCTTACCCATCTGAGGTACTTATGATGCTGAATCCTGAGGTTTTAAGTAGTAAGTTGGTATTTGGTAGGTAGGGGAAAGAGGACTGCAGCTGTCTGGAGGGCAGAAGCAGAGGATTGCAATAGCAAGAGCAATGCTGAAGAACCCTGCTATCCTACTCTTAGATGAGGCAACGAGTGCATTGGACTCAGAGTCAGAAAAGCTTGTACAGGAGGCTCTGGATCGTTTCATGATTGGGCGGACCACTCTTGTTATTGCCCATCGTCTCTCTACCATTCGGAAGGCTGACCTTGTGGCTGTACTCCAACAAGGAAGTGTTTCTGAAATAGGAACACATGATGAGCTCATTGCTAAAGGAGAGAATGGTGTATATGCTAAGCTCATCCGTATGCAGGAGATGGCACATGAAACTGCTCTCAATAATGCCAGAAAGAGTAGTGCAAGGTAGCTAAAATCTATTTCTTCTTTCTTAATTTTCTTGGTCTAACTTGTCTAACATAGACTTATGATGATTCTTAATCTAGGCCTTCAAGTGCCAGGAACTCGGTGAGCTCCCCCATAATTGCACGGAATTCTTCCTATGGACGATCGCCATATTCGCGTCGGTTATCTGACTTCTCCACATCCGATTTTAGCCTCTCTCTGGATGCTTCACTTCCCAATTACAGGCTTGAAAAACTTGCCTTTAAGGAGCAGGCCAGTTCCTTTTGGCGTCTTGTGAAAATGAATTCTCCTGAATGGCTCTATGCATTGCTTGGTTCTGTTGGCTCTGTTGTTTGTGGGTTCTTAAGCGCCTTCTTCGCATACGTTCTAAGTGCTGTTCTCAGTGTCTATTATAATCCAGACCATGCTTTCATGAGTAGAGAAATAATAAAGTACTGCTATCTACTAATCGGACTTTCATCAGCTGCTCTTCTCTTCAATACAATACAGCATTTCTTCTGGGATATTGTGGGAGAGAACCTCACCAAACGTGTAAGAGAGAAGATGCTTACAGCAGTACTGAAAAATGAAATGGCATGGTTTGACCAGGAAGAAAATGAGAGTGCCAAGATTGCTGCAAGGCTGGCCCTCGACGCGAACAACGTCAGATCAGCTATTGGAGATAGGATTTCTGTGATTGTACAGAACACTTCACTGATGCTAGTTGCATGCACTGCCGGATTTGTTTTGCAGTGGCGCCTCTCTCTTGTCCTTGTAGCCGTCTTCCCTGTGGTTGTTGCGGCCACTGTCTTACAGAAAATGTTCATGACTGGTTTTTCAGGAGACCTTGAGGCCAACCATGCCAAGGCCACACAACTAGCAGGGGAGGCCATTGCCAATGTAAGGACTGTCGCTGCATTCAACTCAGAGGAAAAGATTGTCAGACTTTTCTCAACCAACCTTGAGATCCCACTACGACGCTGCTTTTGGAAGGGACAGATTGCCGGCAGTGGATTTGGCATTGCTCAGTTCTCTCTTTATGCTTCCTATGCTCTAGGTCTTTGGTATGCCTCATGGCTTGTGAAGCATGGCCTCTCCGATTTTTCAAAGGCAATCCGTGTTTTCATGGTCCTTATGGTTTCTGCAAATGGTGCAGCTGAAACACTTACTCTGGCTCCTGACTTTATTAAGGGTGGTCGAGCCATGCGTTCGGTCTTTGCACTTCTTGACCGCAAAACCGAAATTGAACCTGATGACCCAGATGCCACCCCAGTCCCAGATAAACTACGTGGAGAGGTTGAATTCAAACATGTTGACTTTTCCTATCCAACTCGGCCTGATATCCCTGTCTTCAGAGACCTAAGTTTGCGTGCCCGAGCAGGTAAGACGCTTGCTCTTGTTGGCCCTAGCGGGTGTGGCAAGAGTTCTGTTATTGCACTAGTCCAAAGATTCTATGAGCCATCATCAGGACGAGTTATGATTGATGGAAAGGACATTCGTAAGTTCAATCTCAAGTCCCTGAGAAAGCACATTGCTATGGTCCCACAGGAGCCATGCTTATTTGCTGCTTCCATACATGATAACATAGCTTATGGCCACGAATCAGCTACCGAGGCTGAGATCATAGAAGCTGCAACTTTGGCGAATGCTCATAAGTTCATTTCAGCATTGCCAGAAGGATATAAAACTTATGTTGGGGAGAGGGGAGTTCAACTATCTGGTGGACAGAAACAAAGAATTGCAATTGCCCGTGCTCTAATTAGGAAGGCAGAGCTAATACTACTAGATGAGGCAACAAGTGCACTCGATGCTGAATCCGAGCGATCCGTTCAGGAGGCCCTAAACAGGGCCTGTTCAGGAAAAACAACAATCGTAGTCGCTCATCGACTATCAACTATCCGAAATGCACACGTCATTGCAGTAATCGACGATGGTAAGGTTGCAGAGCAGGGATCACACTCACATTTGTTGAAAAATTATCCAGATGGGTGTTATGCCCGGATGATACAATTACAAAGATTCACACACAGCCAAGTGATTGGCATGACTTCAGGTTCAACTTCCTCAGCAAAAACTAGAGAGGATGATGAGAAAGAGAGCTAGGAGATGGAAGCTTGGTAGTTGATAAGAAAGAAAAAGAAGAACAAAAACCCTTATACCCTTACCAATTCTTGTGGGTTTTATCTGCCATTTTCTATCCAGTAAGTATATTAAGTGAATTATCTTGATTTTTGCCCCCTTCTTACATAGTCCTCTCGTCACAAACACTTCCCAGAGAACCCAGATGCATAAAAACCCAACATCTTTTCAACCAAACATTCAAACATTTTAACAAACACCTCATATGCATTAAAACAAGCAAAAAAACACAACAGGAATTCACGCGGGAAACAGAATCATTGAATTCATTACATGGTAGTGAAACATGTGCATCCAAAGACAAGACAGTTACTGGAAGGAATCGATTAATAGGGAGGAACGGAAGAAAGGACATGAACAGCAGAAATCGGAATACGATAAGAAAGCCTCCCCCGTTCGCGCGCCTGTTGAATAAGACGATGATGTTCTTCATTCAATTCATGTAAATAAAATATTTACATAAAATACCTGGGCCTGGGCTTGGGCCTGGGCATTGTTATGTACTACAAGCCCATGGGTCATGGTTTTATGGGTAAGCCCACATTGTCTAGTTGAGATGCAAATAATAATAAATATATAATATCATATAAAATAAATAGTTTTAAGAGTAGTAAAGAAATTAAATAAATAAATAAATAATTGCTGACGTGGAGTGATGTAACATTGGGGACAGCAAGTCAAAAGACGGGAAACACCCGCCATGTAAGACGGCTTTGATAACGTGTACAAACGTGGCACACAAACTGTTGTGAACATCAAAAATCACGTTGAAAATGAAATTACAATTAATTAATTCATTAATATTTTTATAAAAATAAAAAATAATTTAAAAAAAGTTTGTATAGTCTTTGATGGTGGGCAGTCTATTATACGACCAAATACGTTATAATAAATGAGGCCATCTCCTTCAATTTAATTCAACTTTCACATTCATTTTATTTCTATCCAAATATATGAATTTCTTAATTTTATATTTATTATTATTCGTAATTATATTTGGATTCACACCCAATTAGCATGAATGGATAATGACTATTTATTAATTTTAATACAATTTATTTAAAATTTTAATTTCGATAATGTCTTCTACTTTAATGTATTGTTTTTAAAAAGATATTAAATTTTTGTCCATATCTCGACATTTCATTGTAAATTTTAGTTCTATGATTACTCGCACATAAAATTTGGTTATATGTTTACTAAACATAAAATTGTAAAAATTGTTATTTTAAATTTATATATCATTATTCTTTTTAACCTTAATGATTATAAATAAATAATTGAGATATGTGGAATATTAATTTTGTAATTCTTTCTGTAATTTAAAATTATGGTGGTTTTTTTATTTTTTTTTTTATTTTTTAATTTGTTTCAAATCATAGAGACAAGAAAGAAAGTTGGGGAAAGGAATCATTTGAAAAGAAAAAGTGGGATATTGGGTGAATAGAAAAATGTCTCTCTGTTTTTTTTTTTTTTTTTTAGATTTTGGGATTTGACGGGGTTGTACGACTTAAGTGTCCCACATTGATTAATTTAGGGAATGGTAATGGGTTTATAATCTAAGAATATACTCTCCATATTGGGATGAGGTCTTTTGGAGAAGCCCAAAGCAAAGTCACTAGAGCTTATGCTCAAAGTTAACAATATTATACTATTGTGGAGAGTCGTGTTTGTCCTCTTTATTTTAATTTATCACTATTATAATTTTTTACCATAATAATTGAAAAAATTATGGTTTATATTGTCCAAAATTGTACCAAATTTCTAGTACAAAGGTCACATGTCCAACTTTAGGACATAGAAATAATTTATAATTGAACAATCAAACAGTCTAAGAATCAAGAAAACGAAAAATAAAATAAGTTAGAGTTTCAAATATGTACGTAACTAGAAAATTATCGTTCTTCATAATTAGCATGCTTTTAGGTCGTCATATTGGGTTAAAACATGGCTAAAATTAAACAAGTTGTGTTTACCGTCATGGTAAATTTTAACGAGGGTCCCACTCCTACAAATATCGTGCAACTTAAAGACCGAAACAAAGTTTCAAAGGGATTATTTGAGATATTAACTTAAAAATAATTGCCTTTTATGGTTTTTTTTTTTTTGTATTTTTAAGGAAAAATAAATAAATTCAAATAGTAGTAGCTTTCTATGCAAATGGTCCAACCATGGGCCGAGATTCGGACCTTGATTGGCTCCAATAATGTACCCGGTCCCCCATACCCGAGGACAAAAAATAATAATAAACAAATGGGTGTCATTTTCAGACTCACCCAACTAGTGGGCTATATTTCGTCACAGCTCATTCAGATGCCGACACGTTCACCATTTCAAAATGAACCACCACCGATCACCACCCGCAACAATCCATCTCGCTTTTTCAAATGGTTCGATATTTTGACGCTTCCTCCCTCCCTCCGCCGATTATTTTTCGTACGTGGCGGCGCCTTGCCGCCATTGAAGATTTTTCTAACCAGGCCTTCAATTTAAAATTCTCCTCAAATTTAGATTCTATTTCTT